GCAGGGAGGAATCAAGTGCGTGTTCAGTGTGGCCACTGGGGGGGGGGGTAGCCAACTGTTGGCTGGCTATTCTCAATGACTATTCCCTTATCCTTTTACCTTTGCTGTCCTCCCCTAGAGAGGTTGGAAAAATTAAATACAAGCTTTGCCAGTCCCCCTTTCAGGTAGGGGTGGCCGTGAGACACAGTTCCAGCCAGAAGGTATGACCAGAAGATATTTGGGAGATTCCTAGGAAAGACTGTACTTTCCTGGTAAGAGTGATAGGAACAACTGAAGCTTTCCCTTCAACTCCTCTTCCTGCCTTGAACTTGGATGCAATGCTGGAACTTCTGCAGTCACTTTGTGACCAGGAGGGAAAGACAAGGCTATCACAAATATACCAGCCCAGACATTGTTGAGCAGCTGACCGAATGCCGGCCGCTGCTTACCTGCAGGTTGTTTATGCAAGAAAATCAGACTTTGTCTGGTTAAGCTCCTCTAAGTTGGGTTGTCTGTTACTTGCAGGCTTCCTGCGAGGCTCACACCTTCACCCAAAAATATTTCTTTTTCAGTCCTTGCAGAACTCCAGTCGAGACTTAAATTCCAGGAGAGAACTTACCCAACTTTTGGCTGGAGGAGGGTAGGCTACCTTTATTAACAGTCCCACCAACACCGCACTTACGGGTAGAAGGAGTTCCCCAAAAGAGGAGTATGCTCCCGTTACCAGAAGGTGGGGGCAACAGAGGTTGGGAGGCTGAAAGTCAAGCGTTCATTAGGATAGGTACCATGGTTACAGCTGGTGAAGACACAGAGGCTCAGGGCGGTGACGCAGGAAGCTCAAAGCCTCCGAGCTAGTTGGTTCACGGGCACAGAGAAGGACCCTTTACGACCATGCTGCAAATGCTCTGCCTTTAAGTAAAGGACTGTTGTACTGGGATTTTATTGTCCACCCACCTCTTAAAAAAGGGGCAAAGCTGGGGAACCTGGGTGGCTCAGTCGTTAAGCGTCTGCCTTCGGCTCAGGTCATGATCCTGGGGTCCTGGGATCAAGCCCCGCATCGGGCTCCCTGCTCGGCGGGAAGCCTGCTTCTCCCTCTCAGCACTCCCCCTGCTTGTGTTCCCTCTCTCACTGTGTCTCTCTCTGTCAAATAAATAAATAAAATCTTTAAAAGGGGGGGGAGGGGCAAAGCTGCATTATTCATCTCATATACATGTTACTTCCATCCCAATTTTTCGTGTTCTTTTAACTGCTCCCCACAGCTCGGGGAGTAGGATGGTTTAGTTAGCAACTATCAGTTAACCCTTTTCACTAGTAGATGTCTTGGTGAGGGATACTTGGCTGTAAAGAACAGAAACGTTCTCAAACTAATTCAAGCACCCAAAAAGAACGGAGTTATGGTGTGGATAGACCTGGCTTTGGGTATAGACAGTAAATACCATTCATAGTTACTGAGAAAAATTAAGCTAACTCGTACACATACAGTGCTTGGCATAGTGCCTGGCACACGGTAAGCCCTCAAGTTATGACCACGACACTCCAGAGTCGAAAATGTAGTGCCAGGTCCCATTTTGTCTACAGCAGTAGAGTTTATGAACTAGAACACTAAGTTCCAGTTCTGGCCATAACACCATGTCACACCAACCCAGGAAAGGTGTTTCCATTACATTCAGGCCACCGCACCTTATCAGCATCAGCATTTTAGGTTTGCCTGATTTATATATAAAACCTACAGCCAGATTGGGTGGTGTTAGTTGAGCCCGCATGAGCACGGTCTGTTTATGGGATCGACATAATGGGGTCGGCTAACTTGCACAGAGCCAACGATGCAAGGATGGGGATAGCCGCACCCTCAGGGAAGCCGATGACCGAGATGAAGGTCCTCACTCTACAATATAGGAATTGTGTTTCCCAGTTCAGTGCACCTGCCCCCTGCAGGGTCTGTGCTATCTCCGCATCCCCCCACCCCGCCCCCACCCCACCTCTCCCAGGCTATGGACCTACATGGCTTCTGGGGAAAAGGAGAGCATCCTTACCTACAACAGAGCCTCGTAGGCACCCAGCTGGAAGTTCTGTGGTCATCTACCTTACTCCAAAATAATGTGTTAATAAATAGGAAGCTTTAGCTTAAACAAAAATCTTATGGTGAACAAACCTGTAATAAGCAATATGAAAAGAAGATCTCTGGTCAGTTTCTACTTAGGCCAAAGCCAGTGGAGTGGATGCAACAATGTGGTCACTGGAGATTCTCAGGTCTCTTTAGTTTTAACCACCCTGGACTCGTGTAACCTGTGTTTTTATTACAGCCCACTTCCTACCTGCCAGACACTTTACAAATGCACTTTACAAACGTGAGATCCCAAGCCTCACAACAATTCTTTGAGCAATGGGCAGGAAGCCAGAGTTCAGAGAAGGTCCAAAAACTTGTCTAGAGACAGCCAATTCGTGGCAGAGACAGGATCAGAACGCGGGCCTCCAACTATAAAATCCACCCACTCAACTGCTACTATACTGAAACGAAATAATTACGAGAGGCAGTGGGCCTTGGAAACAGACTGTGGCAAACACAGTATTTTGTAATTTTATCATGTTTCCAGAAAGGCCTAACTGGGTTCTATAAAGCTCATCCCGTTGGCTAACCTAACTGTTCAGTGAAAACAACCGTACTGAAAGGTTTTGTTTCTAAGAAGAGGCAGGAATCCTTCGCTTCAAAGCAAAAAAGCACCCGGCTCTCCCTCCAGGCTTTTTCCCAAAGTCACGCTGGTGTGTGCTCAAGGCAGTGTGCAAAGGATGCGGGGCAGTAGAGGGGGGCTGCCTTGGGGAGCTGAGTATGAACCCTAGACCTGCCAACGTGTTACCCTGGTGACCGGGAGCAATTCAGCTAACTTCTCCAAATGTAGTTTTCTCTTAAGCAAAGGGAGATTATAGCACAGATGGAAATCCGTGTAGACCACAGAGCAGAGAACCCCGCACCAAGTTCCCCTCGTCAGAGGGCGTGTCAGGTCGGTACTACTTCGGGTCAACTCTGTGCCTTCCCAGTACATCAAGAATCTCTTAGAAATGTTAGCATTAGTTCAGATGTTTGTAAGCAAACAAACCCAACATGAGCTAGTGGACTTTGACCACTGATGAGGCATTTACAAGGTGCAGGGTGAAATCATCTGGCCCCAAGGACTCAGACATATAAAACAAGGTTCATGCTCTCAGGAGGCCTAAAGTCCAAAACGTGGGCTAGACAGGCTCTTATTTTATCAGGACACATACTACGTGTTAAGTCGTGGGGCCCACTACAAGGACACAGGGGAAATACACCCACACCTTGAGGCTCAGTACCTTCAAGCCTAAGTTGGATGATGGGTCAGCATCCTTCAGGACACACTAGGCGTTCCACTTACTACCCAGTGGGTGTATCTTGCATCCATACCTCATTCCCCGAGAGAGAAGATCCGATGGGGGTATGACCACCCAATATCAAACCGAATATGAAAGTTCTTATAAAGCCATACAAAAGCTGTTGACTCTCCAGTCACCTGGCCTTTGCAGGACTACTTTTGGGTCAAGACACCCAATGCTCAGTCCATAGCGTGAGTCATAGTAACTTTCTACAGAAAGAAACCTCAAAGCTTAAGGCCATTCATTATGACCATGCTGATTTCAACTGCCAGGAGCCCTCTCCCCATCTCCCCACGTAGCAGCACTCAGATTCTGCTTTAGAGAATTATCCCTTTCTTCGTGCTCTCTGACCCCAGTGTGGGCGCAGGACCCAAGACAGCAGTCAGACAAGTCACACTCTGGAATCCGAATGTTGAGAGCGCATTCTGGAACTGCCCAAATCCTGGCTTTTTGTAGTCTGGTTGGACTCTCCCTCAAAAGGTCCCCCAGATTCATTTTCTGCATGAGTGAGTCAAAACTGGTTCTGTTTCCTAAAGGCCTATGTGAAAGGCACTGCGCTGCTCAGCCGGCAGCCGTGGGTCCGGTCAGTACTGCCCTAGGCAGAAGGAAGCCTCCTGAGCAAAGAGTTCCATGTGGTCTTCTGTCTTGGACAAGAGAATGAAAGACGATGTGAGGAAAGACACCGAGCTGGTGAGGAACCCAGAGCACCAAGGCAATGCTAGGTTTTGGTGAGGAAGCCCCAATTTATCTCTGTTCGAGGAAGGGCGTCCACAGGAGAAAGCTGACAATGCCCAGGCTCTCTTCTACTAGCTGCAACCACTGGGCACACTGCAGATGCTGCTCTCCTCCTGGGCCAGTTATCACACTCATGCACTCGGTTACATTTTATTTTCAGAAAGACATCCGTCATTCCAGTTTGTTGCACAGATTACATGATCAAGGTGTTTAAAAAAAGGTTAATCGTGAAATCCCACCTTCAGCTGCAAAAAGTCAAGCTATGCTGTTAAAGACAGCCAGGATGATAAGAGTACAAGTGTCCTTACATCTATTGGATCTTGAGAATTATTCAGCAACACCCACAAGAAAAGTAAAACTCTACCCTCCTGAAAAGGTGTATCACTTTTTAGGAAACTGGGAGAGCTTCCAAAAGCCTCAACATTTGTGATTATGGTAATAACCCTGACAAATGTCTCCTCTGCAAACTGGGCTAAGTCAGCTAGGGGTCAACAGGCCGGGTGTCGGCAGGAAAAAGCACACCCCCGTTGCTGTTTACGAGGGCATCTGGAGGTCCCAAGCTGCAGCCCCAGAGCTCTTCTCTTTGTGTTCATAAAGTACACAGACACAGAGGAAGAGACCTGCGACCAGTACTACTTAAAGTAGGCACATTGAATACTGCGAGTCATTTTTAACAAAGAATGTCCCACTGTTCAGTCTTTGACTGTGGGTGACAAAGCCAAGATACCCCACCAATCCGATACAAAAGTCAGGGGGGTAGTTTTGGGGGTTTTTTTGGTTTTTTTAAAGATTTTATTTATTTATTTGACAGACAGAGACCACAAGTAGGCAGAGAGGCAGGCAGAGGGAGAGAGAGAAGCAGACTCTCCACTGAGCAGGGAGCCTGACGCAGGGCTCGATCCCAGGACCCTGGGATCATGACCTGAGCCGAAAGCAGCCGCTAAACCGACTGAGCCACCCAGGCGCCCCTAGGGGGGTAGTTTTAACACATCATAATTATATGCTGTTTGTTTTTTCTAGTGAAGACAGCAAAGCCCATTCACAACTGAGGAACAGAGGAAAACTTGGGTTTTAGCCAACTGCTAGCTCTCAGAAGACAGACCTGGGGGTTCCATACCCTGCTGTGTGGGAAGTTCCCCTCCTTCCCTGCCAGACACCTGCTAGTTGAGAGTACAAAGGTCATTGCAATCACGACCTCCCCTCCCCCTGCGCTGAGACTCTCACTTCGCCTGACCGACAGCCCACACGTGGGAGCTTGGTCGGGCCTGCATGGCAGCACAGGGGGCCATGAAGGGAGAGGATGAAGGCATTCCCTGGGAGAGGCTGTTGAAAAAATCCCCTGCCCCAGCCCCCCACCCCCCCCACCCCAGAAAGCACTGATCAGAGTATTTAATAACTACCATCCAGCCATCGGAGGGGAAATGACCAGGGCATGCAGAGAATCTAAGGTACTCAAGCTGTCACGGCGAGGCTGCTCTTGCAAAAAGCCGAGGAAGGAGCATGTGACCTAGCTCAGATCGTGCATGCTTCACCCTTACATTTTGTCCCTCCGACGGGTCTTCGCTGCCGGCGGGACTGGTCTTCAAAGTCTCTCGGAGTCTCTCTCTTAACCACGCGGCTCGAGCTAGTTTTAGTCTTGCCCAGCGGGATCCAGGTGAAAAATGTGGAAGGCAGCAGCCAAGGAAATAAGAAATATACAGAAACGGACGGTTTAGGAGAAGGCCTCCCGGTGTTGATTTAGAGACAAAGGGTCCAGGCTGCGGCCAGCAGGGGGATCAGCAGCAGAGCTGTGCTGCTGGTGCCCCGGGCCGCGGCGTTCCTGTTACACAGATCCTGCTGGCAACAGCTGTACTCGAGCTTCCTCAGCCCTAAGGTTTTGGAGATGAGGTTGTAATTGCAATCATCAAACTTCCAACAGCGGTGGTAAAAAAGGTTTGGCTCTGTGGGGAAAAGACACACACAAGGGTAAGCAAGCCCGCGGGTACAGTTCGGTACCCGCCTTTGACCTCTCGATTCTATTTCCTAGAACTTAGCTACTCATGGAAGTAGAGACTTCTGGGTGACAACAGGTACCCTCATTGGGCTAGGGAACGACTGAGCAAATGATGATACAGCTCAAGATGTAGAACTTTTCCCTAAAAACAAAGGTTCATCAGAGCCCGTAAAGTTTGTGGTGCAATAGCCAATCACGCTGGTGTTTTAGAGGTTTGCTAAGATTTTTAAACCCATATTCCCTTTGATCCAACAATCCTACGTCTAGAATTGACTTTATGACGTTACTTGTGAAAAAGGTTAAGGTAGATGCTCGAGAATGGTCACGGCATCACCATCTGTCACAGCAAGAAACTAAAAGACACAAATCAGTCCATTACTAAAGAAACATTTGAAGAAATAAGGGTAGAGTTCCGTACAATGGAAATCCAGGTAGAAAAGGAAGGACACAGGCCTGCATGTGTTGAAGTGGAGTCTGAGTTAAAAAAAAAAAAAAATGTAGAAAAATGGATAAATTGGACCCCATTAAAATAAAAAACTTTTGTGCATCAGTGGGCACTGTAGAAAACAAAAAGACAACCCACAAAAAGGGAGAAAATGTTTGCAAATCATATATATGATGAGTCTAGTATCCAGAATATAGAAAACATTCTTACAACTCATTAATAAAAATACAAACATGAAAAAAAATAAAAAATAAAAAAAATAAAAATACAAACATGAGCAAAGGATGCAGAGATTTCTTCAAAAAGATATACAAATGGCCCATCAGCACATGAAAAGATGTTCAGTATCATCAGTCATTAGGAAAATACAAATCAAAACCACAATGAGCTTCCCTTCACACCCAGAATGAGTGTTGACAAGGAAGTGGAGAAACTGAAAACCTCTGTTCCCACCACTGCGGGGGAAGGCAAAATGGTGCTGATACTCTGGAGAAGTCTGGCAATTACTCAAAAAGTTAAAAATAGAGTTACAAATACCATATGATCCAGTAATTCCACTGCTGGCCATTTACCCAAAGAAAACAAAAACACTAATTTGAAAAGATACATGCATCCCTACGTTTATAGTAGCATTATTTACAATAGCCGAGACATGGAAGCAACCCATGTGTCCATTGGTAGATGAATGAATAAAGATGTGGTACACACACACACACAGACACACACACACACACACACTGGAATATCATGTGGCCAGAAAAAAGGATGAGATCATGCCATTGGAGACAACATACATGGATGGACCTAGAGGGTACTATGCTTAGTACAGACTCAGGGTACTATGCTCAGTACAGATGGAAAAAGACAAATCCTGTATGATTCTACTCATAAGTGGAATCTAAAAAATAAATAAATAAACAGCAGAATCAGACCTATAAATACAGAGAATAAACTGGTGATTGCCAAGAGGGAAGGAGGAGGGCAGTTGGGAAAAACAGGTGAAGGGGAGAGGGAGATCCAGGACTCCAGTTACGGAACGCATGTCACGGGAAGACAAGACTGTATAGGAAATACAGTCAACGCTACCGGAACAGCGGTATAAGGGGACACGGGATGGGTACGCTTGTGAACCCAGCAGCATGCGCACACTTGTCAAATGCTAAGTTATACACTGAAACTACTCTACTATTGTGTGTCAACTACACCCCCGCCCCAAAAAAGAGTTACCATATGACCTAGCAATTCCACTTCTAAGTATGTACACCCAGGAGAACTGAAAACTACGTTCACATGAAAGCTTGTACACAAATGTTCAGAGCAGCATTATTTGCAACAGCTACCAAGTGGAAACCCAGATGTCCGTCGGCTGGTGAATGGATCAACACAATGCGGTCTCTCCACACAACGGAGTGTGATTCAGCCGCAAAAAGGACTGGATGTACCGACACGCTGGCCATGACATGGGTGAACCTTAAAAACACTCTGCTCAGTGGAAAAAGCCAGTCACAGAGGCCACACCCACTGTATGATTCAGTTCACAGTAAGTGAACAGGCAAATCCATGGAGATGGCGAGTTGATTAGTAACTGTGAAGGGATGTGGGAGGGAGGGGCGGGGAGTGACTGCTGATGCGTATGGGCTTTCTTCCTGGGATGAAAATATTCTGGAGTTAGTGGTGATAGTGGTGCAACTCTGTGAATATACTAAAAGCCACTGAACAGTACACTGTACAATGTACATTTTCTGGTACGTGAGTTTTATCTCAATAGGATGGATGCAGACCAGGATGTAGAATGGGGGCCATATGCATAAATGAAGTGTGTGTCTGGGGGTAAATGCATTCATTTTCTCTGGAAAGATTCCCAAGGAGTTTAACAGTGTTGCCTTCCCAGAAGCCTATCTTTCATTTATATATTTCTGTATGGATTGAGATTTTTTTTTTTTAAGTCATTGGATGGATTTATTTTCAAAATATTTTAAACTTCATTTAAATATCATTGGACTATTCAGTAATACAGGAAGAATTAAAAAAAAAAAATGCCATTATGGTCCCAACTTTTGCACACATGGAAAAATAAAGGCCCAAAATATCTATGCCAAGTATCTTATTGTGGTTTTTGACTATTCAGAAAAACGATGTTAAGGGAAAAACAGTGTGCTGGTTGAGAGGCATTATGGTCAATTTTCCTCTCCAAAAATAACTGTGTGCCAAGACCACGGTGTGCTAGCTGCTGGAGACACCCCAACAGAGAAGGGATGGTCCTGGCCCTGGGATCACTCTCTCATCCTCTGTGCTGGAAAGAAAAAAACCCATACAGATGCCTATTTCCTTATTAAGGGCTTGTTGTAACTAACTTCATTTCATTCACAGCTGGGAACAAAACTACATTTATAACTGCAGATATAACTGTCTCATCCTCCCCCTTGGAGGGGATGAGCGCTTGGGCTGGATTTTAATGAAATTTGGTCAAGTGGCAGAGGCCACAGACTGTTCTAGTGACTCTACTTTCTTGCGTCATAAGTATTTAAGTGGATGCTTCTACTAGTGAACTAGAGGATGCTGTTGAATAGGACAAGTTACTGCTTTATGTAATCCTAATCAGGAATTGGAGCTGGAAAAACATTCAAGTGACCAGAATTTTAACTGGGGGAGCCTAACAGCCCGGAGAAAGCAGATAGTAGTTTATTAATAATTGCTACCAATGAATGAATCATTTACTACGTGGCCTGCAGTGAGCCAAGCACTCTACTTCAATGAGCTCATTTGCATAACCACCTATGATGGTGAGCTTCTCACCAAGCCACTAGCAGAATTACCCAAATAAGGTGGATTATCAGAGTCCCCAAAATGTTAAGAGTTTCTCTCTGCTGGGTGCATCATCCCTGATCTCTTTGAAGACTTAGTTTGAGTCTAACTTCACCAAGCAACAGTCCCTCATTGTTCTTGGCACCTCTACGTGCGCCCCTTATTCATAAGGTCATTCCAGCAATGATCACTCGGTGCCGTCACCAAAGGCTTATGCCACAGTTTAAGTACATGGTTTACAGTTCTGGGACAGGCTGGGACGCCAGTAAATAGTGGCTGAATGAACACCTAACACCTGCCTCCTCTCTTCTAGACTCTCTGTAGAGCACCAACATACCCATTTTCTCCTCTATCTGTCCCACTGACCCTGGGAGAGAACTATTCCTCTTTTACAGTGGGGGAGAGGATAGGGTGTAGCTAGAGTAGTGGAATGATTTCTCCACCGGAGTACCTGACTTTCACTCGTGTTTATGACGACAGTGTGCCCTGCCTCTCCCAGGAGATGTCAATCCCAGCTGGAGGGGGACTGAGGTGCTCTGGTAGGATCTGTCTTACTGTAAGGTCAGAATGTCTGTATTTCAAGAACTGCTATCATCACATGTCAAGCTGAAGTTCTGGGACTTAAGTTCATAAGAAGAAAAATATTTATCCTTTAAAATTATCCTTCAAAAAAATAGATTTTATCCTTTAGAGGAGTTTGAGATTCACAGCAAAATTGAGCAGAAAGTCCAGAGTTCTCATTTAGCCCCCTGGGACCCCCATCCCTACCCTAAAGAACGTGTTCTTAGCGTCCCCCACCAGAGTGGTCCACTTGTTACAACTCCTCCTCACCTCTACCGTCCAACACACACATTTCATAAACCAAAAAACACAGGCAGAGAGAACTTACTGGAGGCAGGACAGAGATTGGAGTTCAGAGCTCCTAACTGCAAATCTAATTCTTACTCTACACATAATATTGCCTTTATTCTCTCATTTGGAAATTAGACTTTTTGTAGTTGGGGGGGGTGGGTCCAAGAGACACAGATGATCAAGGTTAACTTGACATATGTGCTCACACATAACTGGTTTTCAAATATCTGTGGGACGAATGGCTACATTCTCTCCAGGGGCCTTACTGCGCTTTCTACATTAACAATGAATGATCGTGGTCCCCCTCCAGAATCAAGGACCTTGCATACGTAGGGCTCGGAATGTTACCCACATTCCAGGACTTTACATCAAAATGATCAGATCGTCCACTCTGACAGGATAATTCTGATGTGTCCTTACTTATTGAGGGATTTCTCCTTTCTGGGGAAATTAATCTTCTCCTCCTTTCTATCAGGTTTTTCTGAACCTGTGGGTCTCTCGAGCCTTTTATGAGTTTACCGGACATGTTCAGCATTCCCTGATGATGCCCCTGGAAGGACTTTTTGGTAGAGGGTAGAAAAATAGAAAAACCTTGAAGGGTGCTTTTAATTTTATTTCTTAGATGGTAACCATTACTTGTTGAATACAGGTCTCATGAGAATAAGCGTGGCACACATTTTTGCCCAGGCCCTCATCATCCCGTTACCCTGAGGAGACAGGGAAGGGGCAGGCTCTTACCGGCTTTGACCAAAAGACACGCATCAAGATTAAGCGAACAAACGGTGGTCTTACTGCACGCAACACTGTCAGCACAGTCGTAACATGTCAGGCTATGACCTAGAATCAAGAACACACCCTGTCAGTGCTTGTATGATCTCCACTGACTTGCCCCCCCGCCCCCGGCAGCAGAAGGGAGCCCACCATCGCCGCTGGTATGAGGCTGAGGTCGGCAACTCATAGCGTGTTTCCGTTCCCGTACAAACCTGTAGCAGATATATTTTCCCAACCTCAAGCTACAGTTCCAGCAGCATTTTTTGGACCCTGATACAAGTGCAAAAGCAATTTCCATATTTCAAAATCCACATGACTGGGACACCTGGGTGGCTTAGTCAGTTAAGTGTCTACCTTTGGCTCAGGTCGTGATCCCAGGGTCCTGGGATAGAGCCCCGCATCGGGCTCCCTGCTCAGCAGGAAGCCTGCTTCTCCCTCTCCCACTCCTCCTGCTTGTGTTCCTCAATCTCTCTCTCTGACAAATAAATAAATAAAATTTAAAAAAAAACCCAAAAGCCCAAAGAACAAAATCCACATAACCATGCAATTGAGAAGTTTCCTCTTGCCTTCAACTAGAAGTGATAAAAAAAAAAAAAAAAAAAAAAATGAAGTGCTTAATCTGCAATGTAATGACATATTAAAAGGAAACTACCAAGAGAAAAAACTAACAGAATTCTATAAATGCCTTCCAGGCCATGAATATGCTCTTTTTGATCACATTCCCCTAGACTGATACTCAGTTATTTGGTAGTACATATCTGTGTGAAAAGACATTTTCAAAGATGAAATATGTAAAATCTCATAGAAGAATGTCATGGTTAAACCCAGACCCAGTGTGGGTTTTAGAACCCAAGAGCTGACTTGTAGTTCTAAGGCCAAAGCCTACATTCATCACGCAGGGAGGGGGAATTTTCCAGAAGGCCAGAAGAAAGTGGCTCCTCACCATCTGAGCACCACAGGAGTCAAGCGCTCTATAACATATAAAATGGCCATGCTTGCCTTCACAGGTGTGAAATCCCACCTAGCAGAGGACCCTCTGATTTGGGAAGGTTCCAGATTAACCTTTGAAATGTCAGCCCAAAAAACGCTCCCCCACCCACTTTGTTTGCAGATGACAGATGCCTGAAGAAGTGAAGTGGCTCACCCAAGGACACCGAAGGACACCCAAAGCAGCATGGCCGGAGCCAGCCCCCACACCCAGGGGCCAGGCTCCGTTAGCCCACTCTGCCTCCACCCTCTCAATGTTAGTTAGCGTTAGTCGTGCCTGTGTGAGGGGCCACGATGAGAAGGGACAAAGATGCGATTTTTCTGCAGTCCCCTCCCTGTTCCAGATGTGTACACCTGCGTGGGAGGGGAGGATGAAAGAGGGAAGAATGTTCTAGCCTGGATACTGGGGAGGGCCATCTGAAAAGGCTGTTCTGAGGACTGACTCTTCTGCTGGCTACAGCCAGACCTCTTCTGGCTTCTTGACAGAGGAACCAAAGCTCACACTTGGAACTTGTGTGGGGCAGAAATACAGCTAACATGTTCATTCGACGTGCAGAGATCCTGTGTGCCTCCACGCTAAGCTCTTGATCTTTGCAGAACTGTTATGACAGGTAGGCTCAGTGATCTCCGGCCCCATGTTTGAAGAGAAAACAGGACTAAAATGTTAACTTGTCCAAAGTCTCACGTTACAAAGGAGAGTTGGGACTCAAACCCAGGGCATTGGTGCTGAAACCCAAGCTTGGTTTAACCATGACGTTCTTCTAACGGTCCAGAGCGGGAAAGAGAAGGAAAGAGCACAAACTGTGCAGGGATCCGACTCTGGGCTAACAGAGGTGAGAGATCAAGCCCTGCAGGGGCACCCCACGCCCCTGCATTTTCCTCAGAGCCCAGGCAGTAGCCAGGGACGCGTCTCCCCTGGGTGCGCTCATGCTCCAGACAGACCCTGACTCTCTGTGCAAGGGCTGGGGACCTGTCACAGAGCAGCTGCTGGCCCCAAACCCAATCCTGCTCCATAAGCAGATGCCAGCTGCTGGAGCTGGGGCATCACCGGGCGATTCCGCCCACAGGGACTACACCAGGCAGAAGAACAGAGACAGTCACGTCATGTTGTCACAGGCATGAGCCACATGAGCACCCGCCCCGACTGGGAGTGACACAGGTGGGCAGGGAGGGTCATGAAGCCACATCAGCACCCGCCCCGCCCCGGCTGGGAGTGACAGATGGGCAGGGAGGGTCATGACGGCTCTTTTTTCTCCAAAAGGCAGAGCATATTCAAATGTCAAATGTGTCCTTGGGCTAGTTCCTTCTTTGCTTCAGTTCCCTCAACTATAAAATGGGAAGAACAACCATGATCCCTCATGGGGTGGCTGGAAGGGTTAAGTGAGACCGGGGCTTGGCACAGTCCCTAGGACACAGAAAGAATTCAATATATGGGAGCTGCTAAAGCTAATAATATCCAAGACATGCTCTGACACAGCAGAGATCTGTTCCTTGCTCATTGCATTGCTACCTCCCTTTCTGCCACTCCCCCACCAAAAAAACCCTGAAAAACTGGCAGAACTAACTGGACAGAGGCAGAAAAAAAAAACTGATCCTTATCATGAAGCAAAGCAAATTAACACAGGTGGGGTTTTTTGTTTGTTTGTTTTTTGTTTTTAAGATTTATTCATTTATTTGAGAGCGAGAGTGAGGGAGCAGGGGAAGGGGCAGAGGGAGAGGGAGAAGCAGACTCCCTACTGCGTGGGGTGCCTGATGCAGGGCTTGATCCCACGACCCTGAGGCGAAATCAAGAGTCAGTCTACCTGACTGAGCACCCAGGCGCCCCAGTAACAGAGGTGTCTCTACCGTTACAGAACTAAGACTCAGGCACACACAACTACTGGGGAAGGAGTTCGGAGCAGCCACTCGGGTGCCCGTCCATCTGGGGCTCAAGTTCGGGTTGCACCACTTCTGTGTGACAGTTTACAATTAGTTCACCTCTTCGGGCCTTAGTCTGGTCATTTATAAGATGATGGCAAGACCAGGAGCTACTCCATGGCGCTGACAGGAGGATTCAGTAAGCGGGTGCGTACGAAACACTGGGAAGGGCGGCAGCACACGAGTGTCGTGAGCTAGCTGTCACCGCCGCTCCCGGGGTCGTCGTCCTCACCACCGCACGGCGGACGCCCCCGCACAGAGCGCAGCACCCTAAAGATGGCGCCCACTGGGGTCCCCAACAGCTGGCGAGAGGCAGAAACTTCAGCTGCTGCGTGTACCCCCTGCCCTGCTCCCCCCGAAAAGCTACTCTGTCACCCAGGATGGGCTGTCACTCAGGAAGGCGCTCCAAGGAGGGCACGGCTGTAATGCAGGAAGGAGCGGTCACACGGCCCTGGACCTGTCACACTGGAAGGCAAAAGAAGCAAAGCCAGGTCCAAGGCCAGGGGCATCCGCTCCGTCTTCCTGAGGCCTGAGAGAAACGAAGCTTATGATCAAGCTGACCTAGATGGTCTGGATCCACGTCCCCTTGGACCACTCACCTGAATGGCAGAGGACAGCCAGGACGAGCAGGTGCAGGATGAATCCTCCTTTGCTTCTCATGGTGATTGTCCACAGAATCTGGAAGGAAGGGACGCAGAGCGTTGTCACGCACCAACAAAGGGCTGCTGGCTATTTCAGAAACCAACAGTTGGAAGGCCTGGAGCCTTCAGGAAACACGGGGAAGGAGCTAGCAGAGCAAGAAGTGGTTTGGGGTGCCATGAACCAGGGTGCTCTCCTGGTCCCTCCTCTTGCCCCCAAACCTCAGGTTACTGAAGAAATGCTCGCCGTCCTGGTGGGAGGGGCAGCTATGGGGAGTCAACGCACACAGGGCCAAGCGTCGGCAATACCCGGGCCCTGTCCCAGCTCTCACCTTGGGTGGCCAGGAATAAACAGTTACCTTTGAATAAACCTCAGTCCCTCCAAGCCACAGTGGTCACGATCATGCAGTGGGGGTGGCACTCTCTTCCCCAGAAGGGTTGTTGAGTCAAATGAGAATGTGAGAAAAATACTTAATACAGCAACTACAATTCCCACTCTGCCGGCCCAGCCCCAAGCTGCTGGCGGAGGAGGGGGGCCTAGCAAGGGCCACCTCTGCAGGCCATGCCACCAAGTGTGTCAGACCCCAGGGGTGAGTCTGGAGGGCACCAGCAGGCCTTCCGCAGCAGAACAGGAGGCAAAGGTTTAGCATGCACAGAAGCTCCGGCTCCCCACCTTAGTCAGGGTGATGGAGACAGTGCCTTGGTCACCTCCTCCCCTCTGGGGAAGTAAAGAGGGGTCCTGCTAACTTTGATGACCAGTTACATTTACGCCTACGTGTGTGGCAGGGAGCATCAGGGGAGGAAACGGGAGGGCTGAAATGCCTCAACCCCTCCTTTCACCTGACAAGGAAGCCAAAACACAGAGAAGGTTCTCACTGTCTAAGTCTAAGCCTTGAGTCTCCCAATCCCGTCCCTACTTCCCTGACCCCACCCCCTGAAACAAGGAGGCAAGAGCGCCTCTAAAGCAGGGTGCTCCACGCTCTCCTCCTCTCAGCCCCACCGGGTGGCCCCGGCAGACAGCGGGGGTTCTTGCTGGGCGAGCCCCCACCGCCCCCTCAGTTAGGAATGTCATCCCTATACCTCTGAAGGTCATCTGCTGCTCAGAAATTGGCTGATCAAGGTCAGGGGAGGGTTGAGAAGCAGAAAGAACAGGTTCTGGCCTTGCCCAAAGAAGAAAACACCGAGCAGGTCAGGCCCGGAGGAAAGAGACAGGTTGCCTTCTGATGTGTGGGGAACCAGGAAGAAAATCAAACAGAGCCTGGCCTTTCTTTACAAGTAACCCTCACTTCCCTCTGGCGTCTTCAGAATCTACAACAGCCTCCGAATGGCCACCTCCCGCCCCCGGCCGGCCCCGCAGGAGGTTAGCTGCCCTCAGCAGCCCTGCACAGTGAGGCCGTGAGGGTTGCAGGGGTCACTGCCCCCGAGCCACATTTGCCTCAGCTATGACAAGGGGCAGGCACTGAGGCGCTTCCCAACACCGTGAGGACTCAGTGAGATAAAACAGGTATGTGCTTGAGACACAGCCAAGCCCAGGGAAGTGGCGGATGTTACCAACCACAGGCCTCCTGCCCTGACTCAGACAGGCATGTCTACTGCACCTCCCGTTCCGAGATCCTGCGGATCCGTGGATCTTTCTTCCTGGCCCCCGACCCTGAGAGGTAGGTGTCCTGAGGTCTCCGCACCCTAATGGATGGGGAAGAGGCCTCAGCACCTCCTGCTGGCACCCCGTGCCCTCTGCCCGGAGCCAGATGAGGGACACGAAAGAGCCCCATCCACTCTCCCCTCGCCCGTGAGTGGCCCGGGCCTTGGCACCCCGCCAGCTCCCCGCCTGGCTTCTCTCGCTCAGGAGTTTCTGTTTTGAAAATACAAAAGCCGCAGGCATGGATGAACCTCCGGAAGGCTACTCCCTACCTACCCTGGGGTTATACATTTGCCACCAGAGTAAATATCCACAGTTTGAGAAATGTTGCCACCCCCCTCAAGGAACATTCTGAGGTCTGTGTGCCTTCCTTAAGAAGTGGGAGTGAGATGGCCCCGTGGTGAACAGAAACAGCTGCCGTGGGGTCACGATAATGGTCTGCGAAATATTAACTGCCACAGTTGTTCTCCATAAACAGGTGCCAAACTGATTCCACGAATTATCTCCATTAGTTCTTATAACACCCTAGAAATTAAGGCCTATCATTTTACTGGTAAGAAGGTGCGGTTAAATACCTTGCTCAGAATTACCCAGCCAATAAAGAGCAGAAATACCCCAAAATAAAGAGCTCCTACACATGAACTCGGTAGGGAAGTGCAAATTCACCACTTCTCACGCATAGCAGGCTTCAAATTGTACCTGACTCTAGGTGGATTCCAGAGCCAACAGATTAAGCCAGACAAGGCAGGGCAAAGTGGTAGAAAAGAGGTGTTTCCCCGAGAACTGAACACCTAGTAATCTCTGGGTTAACTACAGTGTTTGAAGTCTCTCCCTCCATTTCAGAAATTGTTTATTATCACAAGCTAACGTGACAGAGGCGCTGTCTCTAAATCTGCAAAGTGTATGGGCTGATCTGCTTAGAAAGTAGAGGTACTGCAGTTGAGTAGGGGTGGGGAGCCAGGTCTCCGCTGGGACCCCCTGGCCTCTTTAGGAAAGTCACCACCCGGTAAGAACACGATTTTTAAAAGAATCAGGGGGTCACAGGGGGCGGCGCCTTCAGAATGGACACAGCGGATGACCGACAGTAGGGAAAACACCCTCAAAAAGGACACGCTGAGCAAGGCGCGGTGCCCACCAAAGGAGTGTACGATTTCACAAACGGGGCCTCCCGCGGGCAGAGCGTCAGGATCCGCGGCCTGCAGAAATCGGTGTGGGTTGCTGCAGGCCCCCTGCGAGGGGCCATTTCCCGGACACCGTGTACTTGCGGCGGCGAGGGGAAAAACGGAACATGTTAACCTGGCACATTTCTAGGACCCGGGGAGCTCCTACTTCTCCTGAAACAACCACACACACCACTAGTTAACAGTTCTTTAAAATCCCGCTGACACTCCGGGAGGGGTGTAGCCCCTCCAAACGAAACGTCACACCAGACTTGGACTTAGAATGTCTACGTTTCGGCCCCGCCCTTTCCCCCCCAATTCCAAATTTGTGGTCTCGACCAGGTCTGTTACCACTCGGCGGGGAGGGGGTTGCGGGCTAACCTCCTTTCAAGGCGCGACTTTTCTTCCCGAAATTACAAGAGCTTCCCTTCAGAGTGACAGGGGGAGCTTCCCTCCCCGCCTCCCCCGCCTCCCCGCGCTTCTCTTTTTGTTAACAATGGAAGCCAGCGTTCCGCCGGGCTCTCTGCGGAGGGGCTTCAGGGGCGGGAATGCTGCGGCCCGCGGGCGGCACGGAGGGGTCTGCGGAGGGAGGCCGAAGCACCTCCCTCGGTCCGGGGTTTCCGCCGGCCCGGGCCCAGACACCGGTGAGCGCACGCGCCGGCTTAAGGTGGCTGCGGCCGGAGGCTGGGGGTGCGGCTCGGCCCCCTCCCCGCCTCGGATCTTACCTGCCTGCACCCGGGGTCCCGCTGCTAACACCACGCGGCTTGCGCGCTCCGCCCCGCCCGTGTTTATAGCCTGGGTGAGCCGGGCTCCGCCCCTTCCCGCGGACCCCACCCCCGCCGAGGCTCCTGCCGGGACCCCGGAGCCGTCCGTCTGCGAGTCCGAGGTCACCCCAGTCCCAGCTCGGTGTGCAGGCCTTTGGCACTCACCGCGCGCTCCCGAGCGAAGGCCCGCCAACCAGCTCTGGCCAGGCAGCCGGGCGGCCACTCCTCGCAGGGTAACTCAGGCTCTCCGCCCAGGTTCAGAAAAAGACCGTACCACGAATAGATTAACCTTTAAAAAACCTGAAACGGAAAATTTGTAGTGTCTTCCTCCGATTTGTTACAGGAAACAAAAATAGGAAGCTCCATGACTTCTGATTTTCCCTTCGTTTAAAAAAATATATTAAGATGTTTCAAAAAACGTTCTTGTGCCCGTGCCAAGTTCCCACTTGGCCGGGCTGTCAGGTTATCCAACCCTGCTGCAGCCGGAGTCTCTTTTTTTTTTTTTGCATGAATGCATGAGATACATTTTACTCAGGGAAGTCATATGATAACCGATTATGACATGTGCCTTCTACCATGATCCTCTGGTGACTTTGGGATGTCAGGGAATGAGTTTCAGCTGGTGGTGCCCAAATCTTGGTTTTCTTCTGTAGAAATGGGAGTCTCAAATCAGGACTTGCTTTGGTATTTAAAATGTGTCTGTTTAAAACAGTGAATACATGTATTTCCTTGTTTACAAAACTCTTTCACATGCATTATCTCATACACATCCTATTAGCCGTTCCCTCCTTGGAACTCTTGGATTCTGAGATGCCACCCTCTCCTGGTTTTGCTTCCAGCTTCCTGATCTTTCAGTCCTGAGTGTTGCCAGGGTTGGACTGAGACTGTTACTGTGTGCTCCCTGGAAGAGGACACTGCATCCACTTAGTTTTGCCTTGGGGATATGTGTAATTTGCAGATAATTTGCAAATCTTTATTCTCCATCCCTGACCACTCTCTCAATCTTCATATTCATACGCAACTGATTGCTGGAACCTGTATGTCCTACAGGCATCTTGAATTCAAAATGTATCCAAATCTCATCTCCAATGTCCAACCGTATTTCCTCCATTTTTTTTTTCATAAATGAAGCCAGAAACCTGGCAATCACCTTTGATTTCTTCTACTCACTCACATCTAATCACCAACTCTTAGGTACCTTCTCTTGTAGATAACCGTTTCATCCTCTTTTCACTCCACTCCCACGGCTATTGCCCTAACTCAGGCCTGTAAGCATGTCTTACTTGCAGAATTACAAGGTCTTCACACCAGGTCTCCATGCTGCCCATGTTAATTCCTGCATCACCCGCCCCCCCATCTGTTCTCCACATGACTGCTGGAGACCTGGTTGGTTTACCCCTCCAGCTGTATGTTTGACTTGACTTTCCATTTAATTTGTCCCTTTTCTCATCATCCTTCCCTATCCATCTATTCCTGTAATAGAATATGACTACAGCTGCCATCTTGCAACCACGAGGTAACCTTTATGATTAAAGCCTTGTGCTAAGGATGGCAGAACAGAAAGTTGGAACGAATCTGGAATGAAGACACCACTGGGCCATTGTTATCAGTCCTCAACTAATCTTTGGCTTTTCATAAGAGAAAAATAACCCTTAGCTATTTGCTGCTATTAGGTCTCATCCTGATACATCAAGCTTTAGATAAATGAGTCAAAGACAGGCAGTGGTCTCAAGGGACCTCAGAACCAGAAATGGCCTTCACTCCACAAAAGCATAGGCTGGCCAACTGTTAGATCCCTTCTATGTGTGAATACACATTCTTGCTAATGAAATAACACTTAAGCGTGTTATCAACTAATCAATCACACCTTGGTATGAACAACAGGTCATTCAACATATTAAGAGGATGTGAATTTAGATGAGAGGATAAATAAGCCTGACGTATTCTAAGGAGCAAGAATTGAATGGGGTTGTAGGGGAGATTTGGGGCATTGTGAGTACTGTGGGAACTGAGAGGAGAGGTCAACCAGAAAAGACAAAGAAGCAAAAATGGCAAGGGATCCTGGGACTAACTTTAACTTTCCACATTAACTAGCTTAAAATTACTATTTTATCGGGTAAGTTTATTTTTCAAAAAATCGGTAGGTTGATTTTTTTTTTTTTAAGAAAGGAGAGAAGCATAATAGGATTTGGTAGCCTGATGATTAAAAAAAAAAGCAGGAAAAACTACTTACTCCATTTCAGAACATTTTGACATGTACCAATAGGAAAGCGTCTTCATGGTCCCTGGGGGCAGCTGCTTAACCCCACATACACTTGCCTCTTCCTATAGTTTTCCCTACAATAGTAGTATTCTTGGGGCACCTGGGTGGCTCAGTTGGTTGGGCATCTGCCTTCGGCTTAGGTCGTGATCCCAGGGTCCTGGGATCGAGCCCCATGTTGGGCTCCCTGCTCAGCGGGGAGCCTGAATAAATAAATAAAATCTTAAAAAAAAGAAGTATTCTTGGGGAAAATGGAAGGTAGGGCATATGACAGGATATAGTCAAAGCCAGGAACTAACTTTGAATGGGCCTCTGGCAATAGGACAATGAATATCGATTTCATCTTCCATCCTGACAGCAAAGGCTGATTAATATTAGTTTATGGAAAATAGGCAATTACACAAAATACAGGGTCAGAACCAAAATTCGTTTTTAAAATGTGAGTTTTTGCCACTTGGAGGATTTCATTCCAAACTCTCAATTATATAATTACAAAAAAAATCCATGTTTCAGGAAAACATACTTAATCTTAACATAAAACTCATGTCACTTATCACATAGATAGTCAAGTGTATAAAGGAGAAACAAAACAGAAGCAGTATTTACAAATTTAGACTACATGAGACATTGTGAAGACTCTTGTTAATAAACAACACAATACATACTTTTATACACTACATTTCAAAAATGATGCATCTGTGAACAATATGATAAAGGTCATAGCATTAAAGACTTTAAATTCAAGGTTGTCTTGTTGAAGATTTTAAATTAAATTCAAGGTTGGTAGAGTTGAAGACTAAATGCAAGGTCATAATGACGAAGACTTTAAGTTCAAGGTGGTAGTGATGAAACCTTTAAATTCAAGGATAGATTGTCTAAGAAAGGACAAACAACTAGCATTCAAGCTATTTAGTCAATTAGTTCCCTGTGAGTACAAAATATATAGGAATCGCTAAATGGATTAGCCTAATTACAAATTCTGTTCATTTCTAAATAATTCACAACTGCAAGAAGTCTTTTCACAGAATTATTCACATAGTTCCTCTCTATCCTTGTGTAGGTATTTCTGCTACATTTTTCAATCCTTATTCAAAACAATTCCCTCCCATTTCCATATTTGTAGAAGTATAAAATATTCTGAAACAAAGAAATGTCTGTTCCTTAGCTAGAGAACTATTCTCCCACTGACTTCTAGAAGAGGGAGAAAGAAAAAAAGATTCCCATTTCCTCCTCTTCCTCAAAAACACAAAGCAAACCAAAACCATCCAATTCCTAACATGGTGTCGCATAGAACCCAGGGCCTGGAACAATATTTCATGCTAGTTTTCCTGCTATATGCGGAGAGCAACTTAGTTATTTACATTATTGGGAAATCTATTTAACAACTGGATTCATGCCAGTGCTTCCATCAGCACAGCCTCCCTAAAAAAGGCGAGAGCAGCGGCGTCTTCGAATGGGAACGTCAAAGACTCTCCTCCGTCTCTCTTCCTCATCGTCTTCATCAGACTCGTCCATATCTGCCGAGTCATCGTCGTCGTCGTCTTCCTCCTCCTCCTCTTCTTCCTCTTCCATCTCTTCATATTCATCAGGACCCATCTCCTTGAAAGAGAAAACAATCTTTTGATAAGAACTTCCATCAGTTTTTTATACTTATTTTACACAAATTCTCATTTATCTAGAATCTAAACAACTGGACATGCCAAATAGGAATTTTTATGGAGTTGAACTGTGTATTTTCATAAATGCACGTGCTGATGCAAGATTCTAGAATGTATATACATATATCACGTTTTAAAAGGCTCAATGTGGTTTTAATGGTAAGTCTGTTTCACTAATACAGTACTTACACTTTACATGGTAGTTGATAATTTGTACAAGGCAGCCAACTAACCACTTCTAACAACCCAAGAGAAAATTTTACTGGATTTATTTTAGTGTATTAAGTAACAATTCTTTATTAATCTATATGCTGACAGAAAAGAGGACTCCAAAATATTAATCAGGTACGACCTCTACTGGTAACTTACATGTACTGTCAGGTCTAATAGACTTCTATTGAACTCCTACTATAAAGATCTATCATTTCAACTCAATCACCAGGGGCAGCGCCTACTTGGAAATTAACTTGCTGAAGGCTCTCAGAATAGGGGCAACAGTGAGGTTGAACATCTCATGGAAACTTCAATTCTGCTTAAGCAGTGTCTCTGATAAAGTCTTGACTTCCTCTGCTGTCAATTTTTCTCTCTCATACGTTTGAAGACTCAGTGAGAGGAGTCGCTATACTGGAGAGAGTTCTGAATAGCAAGGAGCACCTAGCTGGTGATGGGGGAACTACTGGGAAACCTGGGATGTGTCAGTAAAAGGCCTTTCTGGCCTCACATATCCAGCACTCACTATGCCTCCGATTTCACCTCTGACCACTGTCCCCCGGCCACGGCCCTCCAGCTACACTGGCTGTTCTTCACACATGCCAAGCATTAGTATGTTTATGTAACATCAGGGTTTCAGGGCCTTTGCACTTACTATTCTTTTGCTTGGAACATCCTTCTGCCACATATATCCACCTGGCTCCCTCTACTTCTTTCAAGTCTTAACTCAAATGTTGCCGAGGCCTTTCCCAACACATCTTTATATCAGAACAACTGAACAGGACACTCCTTATATATCCTTTACTCTGATTTTTCTCCAGAGCACTTATTACTACTTGGTATAACTAGGTAGTGTTTATTTGCTACTCTTGTCTCTTCCAACTAGAATGTAAATTCCAAGGCAGAGGTTTTTTTGCTTTTTGTTTTTTAATTTCCTCAACTTTCTTCTTTTTTTTTATTGAGGTATAATTGACATA